CGAAAGGCACAGCTATCCCAGCGAGGCCAGCGAGGTCCCTCCTCGGGCTGCTTACCCCCCGCGTGGAGCATGGCCGTCAGGATGGAGGGGAACCAGGAGGTCTCGCTGTTGTTGGCCTGGAACTCGCGCTGCAGCTCAGTGAAGAAGATGCCGATGCACGCGGGGAAGCCCAGGGTGAGGCCCTGGGCCACGACGGCGGCCAGCAGGACCACCCACGCCCAGCAGCCCTCGGCGCGCTCCAGGGCCTGGGGCATCCTCTGCTGGGAGCGCTGCCACGGCCTCGCTGCCGCTGCTACCAGTGCCCGGGCTGCCTGGGGAGGGAGGGGACAGAATGAAGTGCCAGCCTCCCCGGCTCCCCGGCCACCTTTCCTGGGCGGCTGGAACCGTCCCTCTTGCCTCCACACCAGGTGTCAGAGGAGCATCACCCCCTGGGAGGTGGCCAGGGGCCCACGCGTTGGCCTTGGCATCTCCTTTCACCCACTTCCCAGAGCCAGCCTGGCAGGAGGAGCTGGCAGGTGAGGGATCAGTGGGCCCCGGCAGGTGAGTGGAATTCTTTCTAATCTAACATCACTTGTAGTCAGCAGGTGGGACTTCCGGGGCAGCGAGCACTGGGTAATTGCTTGGAGAATGGGGCAGGGCCCCAGGGCCAGGGCCATCCCACTGACCCCACAGGCACGCGCATACATTTCCATTCATCACCAGGTTTCCTGCACACAAACAGTCTTTCGCAACCCACATCAACAGTGAATTTCTGTCCGCGCTGAGGGCCAAGGTGAGCAAGCTGGTGCCGGGTGCAGCCAAGGAGTGTACAGAACACTTCACAAGGGCACCGGCCTCTGAAAGCCCTACAAGGCTCCTTCTAGAAAGAGCCATGGCCAGGAGTCCAGCCCCACAACATGCTGAACAGTGATCTACCACCTGCAAGGGCTTCTCTGTGCACTACCCCTCCAACACACAAATACATACACAGTCACACGCGGACAAATCAAGACACCTGCTCACATACATACACACAGGTAGACACACACTGACATAGACTCATGCAGGCAACCCTAGAGGCATGCAAACAAATGGACAGACACATAGACCCACAGACACATACCCTCACATCTTTGGCTCAGTCCTATCTCAGTTCCTTGCCACCACCAGGCCACTCCCCCTCATCACAGAAGCCGCCATAACCAGACCTGGAAGCCCCAAGTCCCCGCCACCCCCCTTGCCGCCCCCGCAAATGCAGAGCCCTTTTCCGGACCCTTCCCTCCATCCTGGCTCTCCCCACCATCCTCAGACCTCACCTGCTCTCGGGGCTCCAGGTACAGCAGGCAGTGGGAGCAACTTTGGCCTCCCAGGAGTTCCTGTTCCCACAGCCTCCCTCCTTTTAGCTCCAGGCCCAGGGAAGATCCATGGGGACTCAGAAAACGCTCAGAAACATGAAACCCCCTCTTCCTGCCAAGCCCAGCAGCCCACACCTTTCCCCCAGGCCAGGATCTTGCAAACGGCCCCTAAGCTGGACCCACCCTAAAGTGATTGCTTCAAGTGCTCAGCTCCCTTCTCAGGGTACAGCCCTGCCAAGAACATCGCCCCATTCATCCCAGCCTCAGGGTGTGCGTGTGAGCGTGTGTGACGGTGAGCCCTCGTGCGGATGGGCCAAGGGCACCTCCTGCCCTCCTGGCTCCTGCCTGGGACGCTGGCCCTAAAGATCCCCTCGGCCCCGATCCTGGGGCAAACCTCAGATTCAACTCCTCCTCGCTGGCTCTGCCCCTTCCAGGATTTCTGTTCCCTCAGCAAATGGAAAGGCCACCAGCGCCACCTGATCCCCTCCACGGTGACCTGAATGTCAAGTCTCCGCACCCGTGTCCATAGCTCACCCCTCCTCCCTGACACATCCCAGCCCCTCAGCTTTCCCCTGTGTCCCCACTTCCTCCTGCTCTTCCCTCCGCTGCTGCCCCACGCCCGGCACCCCCAAACTCCAGGGCCCTGCGTTTTCCTTCAGAGCAGCACAGTCACGGACAAGAGGTGGCAGGGAGGGGAGAAGGGAGAAGAGACACGGTCCCTTCTTGTTCATCCTGGTCCTGCCCCTCCGTGGAGAGGCCTCCTTAGTGCCCTTCTTAGCAGCACTTCTCTAGTGGGGCCCTTCACTCTGCACCCACCTTCCCTCCACAAACTTCCGGGGGAGCTGGCTCTTCCCCGCTTCTCCTCCCTGGAGACCACCAGAGCCTAGGAAACCACTCAGCACCCTTGCCCTCTCTTAACTTGCTGCCTCCCAGCCTGGGGACCCCTGGCGTCCCTCCGGGAGCTCCCCTACAGACCCAGTCTTCCTTGAGAAGAGAGAGCCATCCCCTCACACCTCAGCAACTCCCAGGCTTTTATGTCCCGTTGGTCCTTCAGCCCCCTCCCCAAGCAAGCTGTCCCCACCCCCCCCCAACTTGGCTACAGTGGTGGTTCCTCCAAATCTTAAGCCAGAGAGAAGTCCGATTGGTCCTTCAAGATTCCACCTTAGGAAGCTACCCTGACCCCCACCCTAGTTGAGCTAGACCCCCTCCCTTCCTGTTTTCTCCCCTTAGCAGTGGTTTTCATACCACATCCACATCCGAGTGGTTCAACGCTTTATCTTGTCCCCCTGCCCCTACCCCATCTTCCACACTAGGAGCAAGGAGCTGTTCCCGAGCTCCCATCCAGCCTCCGGCAGAGCCCAAAACACTATTGATGTGACCCACCTGTGCTCCGCAGAAGACAGGCGAGCTGGGGACCAAGGCTGACCCGGCTCCCTGGCCGGCAGGTCCATTCCAGAAGACGTGAGCGGTGCAGAGACGCGATGGGGCTGGGGGCGCTGGCGTCGCCTCTGCCCCAGCGGGGAAGTGGTCTCTCCTTTGTACTGGGAACCATGAGTCACCATCACCGCCTGGTGTGTGGTTGGGGCAAGGAGGGAGATGCGGCTAGAGACCTCACTCTCACTTCCTGGGACTAGAGGTGAGCCGCCTTCCAGGGGAGCTGCCCCGAGCGTTCAGGGACTCCCGGACCCCAAGACCATCTTCATGCCCAAGTGACAATGCCAAGATGACATTTATTACCCTCCCAACCCCCCAGGCTGTTTCTAGGGCTCCCCGTTGGATGGCAGAGGCCCGGCTAGGCCCTCAGCATCCTCTCCCTGCCTTCCGGGTTTGCAAGTATGGTGGAAAGGGCGAGAGATGCGCTCATGCAGGGGCTGTGGGGTTACTGGGCTGGTGTGTAGAGTGGAGGGGCCTCCTCCTCTCTTCTCATGGTGAGGGGAAAAGGGGGGGTCACAAGCCCCAGGGCAGCGAGAGGAGGGGCAGACCCTGGAGACCCCCTCCCTCACCAGACCACACACATGTCAGGATACAGGGCACAGGGCACAGGGCATGGGGCAGGCCGCCGGAGGGCTCCCCTGGGCCCGAGAACTGCAAGAGCCAGCTTGAACCCTCAAACCCCTGCACCTGGCAGGGGCCCCCGGAAGGAAGGAGGCAGTTCCAGAGGTCGGCCAGCTGGGGCAAGTCACCCTCGCCCTTCTCTGCCCCAAACGTGGCCCACATGTCCCACAGGCGCCGGCTGGCCACAGCCTGCAAGGGGGGTGGTTGGCAACCGAAATTCGTGACCTCTTGCCATCCTGGGCCCCGTCTGCCGTCAGGGATCCTGTTTCCCCTCCGCTTCCCACCCTCCGCCGGACGGAGCTGCTTGGGGTGGGGCTTGGGGACGTCCAGGCGGCGCCCGCGTGCATATTTCAGGCCAGCGCTTGGGGGGGTGCCCGTCCCCTCACTCCCCAGCTCGTGGGGGGCAAGCAGTCGCTTTGGGGAGACCCCTCGGGGGTAGGGGTCCCCAGCCATCGGGGGCTGGGGCAAGCCCAGGACCCGGGGCAAAAAGGCTTTTCTGG